TATCTATCTATCTATCTATCTATCTATCTATCTATCTATCTATCTATCTATCTATCTATCTATCTATCTATCTATCTATCTATCTATCTATATGACCAAAACTCTTGTATTTATCTGCTTGTCCCCTCAGGTTAGTCCAAACAATACATTATACCACAGCAATTTTTGACTCAAGCAACCTAAAATCTGATAACTTAAAGGGAGAGGGTAAAAATCCATGACCTTTACTCCTGTGGGATTGATATTTCCACGATGCTCCAAGTTTTACTCACAAAGTTGTGGGCATTGAATCCCCACAGTCGCAGGATTGTGATTTCTGATGCTCCTTGCCAGCTTCCCACAAAATCAATGGGGAAGCTGGCAGGAAGTTGCTTCCATTCCCACTGCTTTTTTGCCTTTCTGTGGTCCATCGGTTTATCAGTTTAAGTAAGAAAATAGTGACTTATTATTGAATGAGTTCATTTGCCATTACAATTATTTTTCTATTTATGATATTATTACTTTGTTATTATTATTACTTCGTTGTTTTGCGTGTACACTGAGAATGTATGCACTGGAGACAAATTCCTTGTGCGCCTTATCACTCTTGACCAGTATAGTATAGTGTAGTGTCATGTAGTCTAGCGTAGCATGCATTGAATTGTATTGTATTCCTATTCCATTCTATAAACTCTTCTTAGCTATCATGGGCGCATCCAGCACTGAGATTTAAAAAAAATATGGTCAGCCTAACTAATGTTTATTCTGATCATATCAGACTGTACTACCTTTCTCTCAAAGGATGACTCATTCAAGGATCGACTAGTGAACATTCAATTTTAGGCTGCCATATTTGTTGACCCCAATGCTGGATGGTTTTTCCTGACCAGAAAGTCAGCCAAGACCATCATTCTGAAGTATAGAAAGGCTTTTTCAGCAACTGCAAAAAAGAGACAAAGGTAAGTGTGCACCTGGCCAGATTCTGAGAATTCCCCACTTCCAATGCTGTACAGGGATGTGTGCCGGTGTGCATTGCATGCACATGTGTGCATAGGAAACTCACTAAAATGCTGCTCTTCCTCACTGCTAATTTAGCAAGAGATGGCTCAATTTCCCCCATGTGTCTGTTTCGATTGCTGTATTTTTCACTTGATTTTTCCCCCATTTTCTTTTTCTTTTTTCTTTTCTAAGGCAAACAAGAACTCTCTTTCCTTTTTCCTGTCCTGTTTGAACAGTTTCCACAGTTTGTAAACCCAGCTGGCTCGGAGGAGAGACGCTGTTGGTTTAACAAGAATCTGAACGTCCAGGAGTTTTCTTTGGCAAACGAGGGGGACTGATGGGCACTGAAACCCAACTACTGCATTATAATTAAATGGAAAATTACAAATTATACACAGACTGTATAGAATCAGGCTATGGGGGTGGAACAGTTGCATCAACTCAAGTCCTCCAGGGGAAAAGGAGGTGGTGACTTTTATGCCCCTTCCTTCTTGTATTTATTTTTTTGGCCTGTGGATAAGCAGTAACCTAAAAATAGAGCCTGGAACGGATGGAGCTGCCTGGGCAAACAAAAACGAACCAAAAGAAGCCCAGAAAGTATATTCCAGTTATTACAATTTAATTCTGTGTTTTGTCCCAAGACAAGCAAAGGGACAAGTTTTGCAAACTGGTTCAACTTCTCTTATTCTGTTTTTGATCCATTTTGCTTGCCCCTAAGAGGAATGGGGCTGTATTTCCCCCATTCTCCAAAACTGAAAATCATAATTTATCACGTCCAAGGATCCTGCAGATTTCATGCCGATTTTAGCCCTAGGTTTCTAAGCTTATTTTTCCCAGAGATATGGAGTAGTCTTTCTCAACCAGCTGCTGAGCTTGAGAAATACTGATCCAGAGCACAATGAAGATGACTTGAGGAATAAGGAATGCTGTGGAACAATTCCTAGAATTCTTAAATCGGCACAATCTGTTAAGGAGGAAATACAGTTTAACAACAGGTTCTTGGGCTTAATCTCCATCAATCTCCATTCTGGGCTATTACAGATTCAAACTGAGGTTTTAAAGTGGTATTTCTATACCTTGGCAAAGTTGAGGATTTGTGAATTTCAATTCCCAGCATGCTGGCTAGGGAACTCCACCAGTTGAAGTCTACACATCTTCAAGCTGCCAAGATCAAGAAATACTGTTCTAAAGCCTTACAGGTAGTCCTTGATTTACAATTGTAATTCAGCCTGGAATTACGATAGTAAATTATGCTTTTTAAGTGGATTACCACGCCCTATTTTGCAGTGGGAATTAAGCAAACAGTGGTCATTAAGCAAATCCATTATCCAATGGGCATTTTTTTTTGCCAGAAGTCAGAGAAAAAGGAAAAAAAACCCATCAAAAATTGTGGCAAGGCAAGCACTACCGTGTTTCCCCGAAAATAAGACAGGATCTTATTTTTTTGACACCTGAAAGGCCTTATTTTCAGGGAGATCTTATTATTTTTAGGGTGCAGGAGGTGGCGAGTGTGGTGACCTCATGGCTGCTGCTATGTTGCAATATTTTCAGGAAGGGTTTATTTTTGGGAGAGGGCTTATTTTAGCACATGCACTCAAAAGCCCAATTGGCCTTATTATCCGGGTGGGTCTTATTTTCAGGGAAACAGGGTATATATGTTGTAATCCACAGCAGAGCAATCAGCAGCTTCCAGGAAGGGCCAAATGTACTCTAGGATGGGAAATCTGTGCATTTCTAGACATTGTAAAATATAGCAAGCCAGCATGGGCAACGAAGAGTGATATCTGGAGTTGCCATCCCACAACTCCATCAAAAACAACGGCAAGAGTAAAGACACAGCAAACTTGGCTTTTGTGACTTCCACTCTTTTAAAATGATTGCTCCCCTCAAGAATATGCTTCCATAGCTGCCCCGATCCAAGAACAGAGATGAGCCTCCCTAAGGTGTTAACTTTGTGAAAGGGAAAAATATTTGTCACTTTTGTCACTCTGATAGGGAATAAGAAAACTCCTGACAATCTCCAACAGGAGATCTCAATCTTCCTTCTGTCTGTATTTGCCAGAGAATATTCTCCAAAAGCAGATCCCGAGAAACAAAACAAAACAAAACAAAACCCCAAATGAGGAAACTTATTAATGACTGGGGTGGGAGAAGGAAGTCGCCTGTGAGTGACGACTGCCATCAGCATTATACTTCTTGATTCTGCTCAGCCAGTAAAATCAAGCATGGTGGGTACATTCTGGATCCTATTGATCAAAGAGTGTCATCTTACGGGACCCAGGAAGTATCCATTCTGTTGCAATGCCTGCCTTCCAGAGGGATGTTAGCTCCCACCCTTAGGAAGTCCAGGAAATCTACTAAAATCTGGTTGCTCTCCTAGGCCAGGGGTGTCAAACTGTATTTCTTCAATATTTCTTCGAGGGCTGGATCAGCACTGAAGTTGCCCCGTGCCCCATTTTTGGCCTGGACGGCCTCTTGCAGCACTCTGCTGGTCAAAATGGGACACGGGGTCATTGTTGGCCCGGGGGGGGGGGGATGCAGTTTTCACCACCAGAGCCACCGCAGGCCACTCTTTTTCTATTTCCAGGCCAGCCCTGCAGGCCAGATCCAGCCCGTGGGCCTTGAGTTTGTCACTCTTGTCCTAGGCCTTGGAACAAAGTGATCGTGCTGCTCCGACCCTCTGGAACGAACTCTCCGTGGAGATTCGGACCCTCACCACCCTCCAGTCCTTCCGCGC